TTCGTAATAACATTCAGAGGATCTCTTTTAAAATATACTTCTGAAATAAGCAAATATCTAAAAAATTAGGCTAAGGAATAGAATTCCGTACCTATTAACCTATAATTCCCTGTTGAGTCTAAGGATTTGTTCCTTTAGCACTTAAACGTTCCTTCTATTGTACCTTTTAACCATTAATTTAAAAACATCTTTTTTTATGAAATCTTTTTTAAAATATCTTTTTTTTTTTTTTTTTTTTTTTTTGAAATAGAAAATTTCAAGTTGTTCTTTATTTCAAACATTATCCATGTTACTAGAATTTCAAACTTAATTGGATCTGTTTTGAAAAATATACAACTGCTTGATGCTGTAATATATGCACTTTAGATCTTGAAATTTAAAAACGACAAGGTGCGCCATGTTTTAGTTTGCATTAAAAAATCAGGGTTTGAAAGAAAAGAAAAACATACAGTTCCTTCATCAACCTTAATTAGATTAGTTATGCACTAGTACGTGTAAAAGAATATACTATTGCTGCGAATATTCAGCAACAGTTCCTCTTACACAACACATTCACTCTAATAAATCATTCTCAATGTGTACGAAGTGAAACCCACTTAATACTGTATACAACAAAACTACTGTTTCCTCCAAAAATCGAATGGGGGACTCAAATACACGGCGGATGGCATTCCTACACGCTCCCTATATGGAGCCTGGTAGGAAACATACAGCAATCTTTCTTTACACGCCAAACCGAAACATACTGAAATTATGAGATCTACAACCCGTCCAATCTACAAGTATTGTGGTTTTGTCAATCACCAAGGTTGTGGGTTCGAATCCCCCTCGTCACACTGACTTTTTTATCTCAACTAAAAACCTTAATTAATTGAAATATATCAATTGATCAAGCGGACCACGAAAACTAGTGAATTTTAATTAATATGAGATTATAACATTTAATGGTAATTTTTAATAAATAAATGATTAATTGCAAATTATTAAAATTATATGGATTCAATTTAATTTTCTGCATTGGGTTACCAATCTATTCCCTTAGAAAAATAAATGTAAATTACTTTTTCGAAAAAAAAAATCATATAGAGTATCACAGAGGAAATAAGGAAAATTAGTAAATCTTGTTCCAACAGAAACTACATGTATTTTCTTTATAAAATTACCGCTAGTATGTTCTTATTTTGAAAAATAAAAACAAAAAAACGACACAACACAGTTATTGCAGTCGGAAAAGCTCTCTATAAATAAAGCGAGAGGGAAATTTTTTCCCTCTTTATACACGGTACGTAGAGAGTAAAGTGGTTACAAGAAACCTCACAAAGATACGGCTTCTTCTAAAGAAAATTCTATTCTGTTTCTGGTAGAATAGGCAAACTATAAATATATCTCCTTCATCAGAATTATCATAAAAGAATTATCTTGTGCCTTATTGATCTAGGCAAAGCTTGGAAGAAAATTTAAAGAAAATGATCAGATTGGTCAGTTTTTTCAAAATAATATTTTTCAGTTTTGTAGTTAAAATAACAATTTTATACCACTGCCTAATATATGAGGTAATGTATGAAATTTGACTCGTGAGCATTCATACTGAATTACACAATATAAAAAAAATTGTCTTAAGATAGTTGAAAAAATACTGTCCTCATTTGGGCATAGTCTAACGTCTATGTGATCAGTCGAAAGTACGATTCTTCATGGGTCGACCACCAGCCAGAGTGTAAATATTGTTTTCGCAATAGGATATCGATCCAAAACGGTTGCTCTGTATTATGTAATACCAATTGCCACTTGACAAACGGAATCAAAAGCCCGAAGCGATATCTATTTTAACAAGGTTTTAAGCCTGGCCGTATTTTCGTATGACATAACGCTCTGAAAACCGGGTCGATATTCTATGTGATAAAAGATAATTGCTATGCGATCGCGAGTGTCCAGCTCCAGTATCGAGTTCTTAAAAAAATCGCTCTTTCTAATTCTTTACGAACTAAAATATTACCTGGTCTAAATGACAATGTTAGTGTTATTAAAATGTTACCAAAATATGATCTACCGAACTACAAGAATTAAATAAATGTATAAAAAGTAATAAAATAACTGGCCCTGCTGGATTGGAGCTCTAGGCCAAAGTTTCGAGGCGAAAATGACCCTTGTTGGTTCCTGTCCCAAAATGTACGACTATAATGACAATTTTTCAATTAATTAATCTTTATGTAATGTATTGTTTGAGATAAAAAAGTCAGTGTCACGAGCGGGATTCGAACCCACGACCCTCGACTAATTAATTATAAACACCCCATCTCAACCCAACCTTTCGAATTTTCCTTCCTTTTTGAGATTTTTCAAATGTGTAATCTATTCGATTCTCGGCGACAAATGAAATGGCCACGGAGAGATTAAGTGAAGATATACTTCATTTTACATATTAAATTCACTAGTTTTCGTGGTCCGCTTGACCAATTAATATCTTTCAATTAATTAAGGTTTTTAGTTGAGATTAAAATCATTGTCACGAGCGAGATTCGAACCCACGATCTTCGGCTAGATACGCCGCTGCTCTACCACTTGAGCTATCGTACCTCGATCCACTCGGACACTAACTTCCCATCTCAACCCCACCTTTTGAATTTCCCTTCCTTTTTGCCATTTTTCAAATGTCGTGTAATCTATTTGATTCTCGACGACAAATGAAAGTGCCACGGAGAGCTTGAGTGAAGATATACTTCATTTTACTTATTAAATTCACTAAAATTTATTCACTCAAAGTCACGATAGCTCAAGTGGTAGAGTAGCGGCGTATCTAGCCGAGAGTCGAGGGTTCGAATCCCGCTCATGATACTGACTTTTTTATCTCAACCTTTCATAAAGATTAATTAATTGAAAAACGTTATTCGGACAATCGGACCACGAAATCTAATGAATAATGACAATGTAATTGCTATTTCTTTTCAAAATAGGTTTAACAAATTTCGTTATTCAAAAATTAAATGCAAGAGTTGATAAGCAATGTATTTAATACTTTTACATTACTAGCGAACATAAAAAAAAAGATCTCTGCGAAGAGTGATTAATAAATTTTGTCTCGTTGTAATTCTGAACACCCTTTTGTCTCCTTTGTAACTACGGTCGATTCGGCCCATCCGAAGGATTTTGTTTATGAATTTTCCATTCATGGAAATATGTCTATCGGTTTCGTAGCTCGCGGTGCTCGGTGTTGATGAAGCATTGCCCATTTGCTGTTGACTAAACCCGGGCGGTTTGTCTTTAATGCCATGATTACACGCGCCGGTTGTTCACAATGCCTTTTGATTGTGATGGAAGCTCAAAATGGAACATGGGTTGCCTATTCTACCAGAAACAGAATATCATCTTCATTAGAAGAAGCCGTATCGTTGTGAGATTTCTTGTAATCAATTCGCTCTTTAAGTACCGTATTATTCAGATCGTCGTTACAAAAAAAATTCGATGAGAATGCCGTAAACCTCATGGCTTTATCTCAGTCAGTTGAAAATGTATTTATTTATTTACTGTTTTTCTAAGAAAAATACATTTCGTTAATTTTCTCCTCTCTAACGTAACTTTTCCCAACTTTTGACTCCATTTTTAGGCATGGTACCGAATTTTTTTATTAATATTATAGTCTACTTTTCTTCTTAAAATTGCCAGTCCACTTAGAAAATAACTGCACAGACATCATGAAATTTGCAAAATGGTGAAAAAATAAGTTAAATTGTATGAGAAAAAACATGTAATACATTGCTGATTTTTATGAGCAAGCCCATGTAATAAAGTGTTAGTTAAATTTTATGAGAAAAATCATGTAATAAATTGTTAGTTAAATTGTATGAGAAAAAACTTGTAATACATTGCTGATTTTTATGAGCAAGCCCATGTAATAAAATGTTAGTTAAATTTTATGAGAAAAATCATGTAATAAATTGTTACTTTTTATGAGCAAGCCCATGTAATAAAGTGTTAGTTAAATTTTATGAGCAAAATCATGTAATAAATTGTTAGTTAAATTGTATGAGCAAAAACATGTAATAAAGTGTTAGTTAAATTTTACGAGCAAAATCATGTAATAAATTGATAATTAAATTCATTCTATCAATAAATGGTGTTCCGGTATTTTAATAAATTTTATGCAAAGCCATCAGAATTAAATTTTTATAAAAACACAACTACTCTTGTACAAAAATACATATAGTTGGAAATGAACTACAAAAAATATAGTTGCTGGTTCTTTTGTCTTCAACTGTACTCAACAAAAATCTGGAGATTGGGGAATTTGGTTGTATCGCGTAGCGTGGCATCAGGCAGATGTGCATGGTAGTAATACGAACTTAAGGAAAATTGGACATTGGATTTGCGATGGGTGACTGCAGGTCGTCACATTGCGTTGTCAGGTGTTCCCCACTTTATTGCGCCATCGGCCCTCTCAGTAACTCATTCACACATACAACAATATATTATATACAATATTTAATGATAGGAAGACACAGCCCCATTTCTTTTAAACATTGGAATGGACCCAACAATACATGCCTTGCCTACTCATCACTCCCTAGGGGCCAAGGCCTAGACTCTTCGACCAAGTGTGACACGCTAAGTGACCTTTCTCCACTAGCAAGACATATGAGCTGAAAGTGGTTTACCCTAAATACATTCTGTGTGTCAATAGAGTATGGCCTATCCTCAAATGTTTCAGACTACCAGAGGGTCATCGATCAGTTGAGCTGGCGTCATCACATGCAGCTTCTCAGAAACAGACCATTGACACTGCCAACATTCTTTTATTGTTTTCTTTACTGCTTGTACGGCATCAGAAAGGTGGATCATGGTGTTTCTGGAGGGTGAGATCTCAACTTTCACCAAGTCGTCTGTTGTTCATTGCCCTCCTGCATGACATGTCCAGGTACTATTGTTTCAATATCTAAATCAGTTACTGGCATTATAGCAAGTTAATGATGAATGTTATAAAGGTAATAAATCAACATTAACCATTATAATAAAAAAAGTACAGTGTACAGTTCATATATTTACATCCAAAATCAATGTGTGAAACATAAAAAATACAAATGTACATAATAAATTAAAGAAACAATTAATATCAAATAAACTATTACTTTCTTCTTTTACTAATGCAGGCTTTTGTTGAATTAATAATGAAGTATTAAAAGTGGTAAAAAAAATTTTAAATGCTGATATTTTATCATACCATTTAAAATTAAATGGCAGACAATAATTTACAAGTTGACAAGGATTATAATTTTATAAATCTCAGGCTACTTTCTCTTGTTTGTTCGTTATGTCCACACAATGGAAATGTAATGGTACCACGTTATACAATTTCATTTGACAGTGATTTTCTAAATAAAAATAATATGTATTAAAGTCCAGAAGCGATAATTGTTATTAAATTAAATATATACAATTTTCTCTTGTGATATCACGAATAAAACAGCACAAACACTAAAATTGTTTTGATTGAAAAACAATTGTGTTGGAAAAAACACAAAAAAAATCATGATATTTTAATGTTGATACATTACTTATTTATTTTAATGTGGACAACGCCCTAGAAAAATTATTATATACATTTTTGGAACTTTCTTATAAAGGGAAAAAAGAGTATCGATAAAACTAACAAGATTATCTCTTTTTGGTCACTGTACTTGAAAGTTTAGCTAAACATTTTGGATATCATGATACAACGGCGGTTTTCTCCTTCAGTCGACCTTTACAACACTATATATTTTCCTGACAAACCAGAAACAAGCGAAAAATCCAATTGTACCTGCAACAAAACACAAACATATTACTAACTTATTTCTCCAGCTAAGCTAAATTTATTTATATCTACATAATAATCTAATTAATATACTTTCTCAGTGTGCTGAACAGGACAAATTTTGGTCAGTATATAAATTACTAATTTGATGAAGTCGTGAGGAGTGGTCAAGAAAGAGGTAATTTAGAAAAACAGCTTTTGTTATTTTTTTTTGCTGACGTTTCGACCTTTATTAGGGTCATCTTCAGGGTAAAAATGCGGTGCTATTCTTGTGGTGTCATATTGGTTTTTGTGTGAGAGTGTTGTGACTTGCACTGCCGAAGTTTTTTCCCCAATTGTGTGGTCTATTTTTTATTTTATTTTTACCTCCCCTCCAATGTATTTCTCTATTTAGACCTTTCCTGAACAAAATTCATTTTCTTTGAAAAGTTTGGACAACAATGTAATTGTTATTGCTCATTTTGTAATAAAAATATTCCTGGGTCTACTTACACCTGCTGATTGCTAGCCAGCCCATAATTTTTTTTCAGTATATATATATATATANTATTTTCAGCAAGGAAAAAGACCCCAACTACATGCACCCAAATTTCTCACCCTTTTTCTATTGCCTGGTTTTTCCATTTACCCCAAAACTCTCACTTTTTAGTTTGTATTATTTTTTTAGGAAAATGGATGGAAGTTTTTTTAAATCTTTATATCTTATATTATCTATATTATTATATCTTTTTACTTGAGCAGATGATATTTTGAAAGAGTTTCAGAAGAGGAAGAACAAAACGTTTTTCTTGAACATTGACAGTTTTGCTATGGCAACGACAATAAATATTTTACCAGATGTGATAAATGCAAGTTTGTATGTGGCAACGAAAAAATGTAACTAATAACTCAATTTAAAAAACAAAAAAACTTACTGTAGTTTTCCAGAAAAATGCAGGTTTATGGTTATCAAATAAAAACGATTAATACATGATTTTAAACATTTTTGTATTAATAAAAAATACCCTCAATCACACTCAATATGCTTCTCTACATCCTCTGAATAGAATTTTGAGTCTATTATCAACAAATTCTGTAAACGCATTTTCTAACAACTTTCCATCAATACATTTTTATGTCGTAAAACGTCCAGTTGTCGGTAGGTGAGAGGACTGAAGAATAGCGAGGGCAAGGAACCTCATAACCAAGTTTCAACAGTGAGACAAAGGGCCAAGTGTTGCCATACAACAGAATCAGCCTTTTACAATAGACCAAAGATTGCTTCAATAATGCCAATTCTGGTGCAGTGCTATAATTTGGGAGCAATACATTTTGGCGTTGATTGTTTCACCAGAATTCAAGAAGCTGGAAATCAACCAAATGAAGCTCACCGAAGAATCACTATCACCTTTTTTTTTTAAAGTTTTTTTTAAGCCAATGTTCGGAAAGTCTGGTGTTATTGTAGAGAATTAACTTTTCATCGCAAGCGACAATTCTATCCAGAAAAGGTTTGACAAAGAAATGTGCAAACTTCATAACGATCGGTTTTTTAGTGTTTGTTTAATCCAAACCAAAATTTTGAACACCTTCATCACCTTTCCAATTTCCTTAAGGTGGTCAACAATGGTCGATTTGCTAACTGAAAGATTCTCTGCGAGTTCTGAAACAGTTGTTCTGGGATTTTCTTTGGCCAAAGCCAACAGAACATCATGATACAGGGAAGAAATCCTTCCATGAACTGCTTTTCGTTCAAGGCTTAAGTCGCCCCTCGAAATTTTTTAAACCATCTCTGAACAGAGCTCTCACTCACACTGCCTTCGAACCAGACATCCTTAATGTTTCTAGCCGTTTGGGCACCGTTCCAACCGGGTTTAACTCATTAAAAAAAAATGATGTGAAAATCACTTCTTGACACTGAATTATTCCCAAGTAGCGAAATGCTACTAAGGTAAAACAAACATTTCTGTTTTGAAAAGGATAATAAAGTGTTGTTATTCATAAAAAAAAAAAAATTAAAAAAAATAATAAAAATAATAATAATTTTTTTTTTTAAATCCATCAAACGTAGGCAGTTTATTATATAGAGGGGTAATTGAAAGAAAACATAAAAACCTGCATTACTTTCCGGACAACCCTATAAATTCATCTCTTGCCTCATAAAGTATCAAAAAGATCGCCAGGCCAATTGATTTAATTTGATAATAATTAATTTGACTTCAATGTAGTCATAATTGAAATAATGTCATATATTCCTATTGCCTCTTTTAAAAATTTAATTTTGATTTTAATAGTTTTTTAAAATTTATTTTCATTTAGTTATTTAATTGTAAAAAAAAGTAATACATATTTAAAAAAAAATCAAACTTACCCGTTAAAAGGAAGAATAAAAATACCATAAGGAGAGTGTAACCAAAATATAAGAACGTTGATGCGTTATCTTCGATATTTAATTTTGTGACAAAATAATGGATGCAATATACAAACAAGTACATAGCAGTGAAACCACTTGTCAGGAAACTTCTCCACCACCAATGATAATCCTGTAAAATTGATAATATAAGCCAATATATATAACACAGCGTAAATTTACATTTTTGTTTATACAAAATGCACTTACTTCAGCGCACAAATGGAAATAACACAAGAGAATAGTGGTCTCGGAACAGGTAATGACCAAAATCAAAAATACCAAAAACAAAAAGCCAAACATGTAGTACATCTGGTTGGACCTGAAACGACAATTTATACATAAAATCGAAACAAGATTTATACAATGTTTTATCGAAAAATGACAAACCAAAGAGAATTGAGGATAAAAAATAACTGGATGAATATGCAACCGAATGGCAATACGCCACCCATAACTATGCCTGGCAAGGGTTGTGTGTACAGACTCTGATCTGGAATTTGTCTCGGTATTTGATTAGTTCGCACAGGATGTTCAATCGGCTGAAAAAATAAATATACAGTAAATTATTGAGTCATTAACACAGGGGGGGGGAAATAATAATTGGATAATCGTCTTACCCTCTTTCTGAATCCAAACACAGAGCCAATAAAGGTTAATGGCACAGACACCAAAAACCAGAGAGAAAGAAGTGCGACGAGGGTTGAAAATGGGACGGCAGCTGAGCTTTCTTTCGCCCATAGTACAAGGTTCATCACAAAAAATAAACAAAACACAACCCTGAAATAACAAATTAGAAAATAACTTATTTTTACACTTAGTACATTCTTATTTAAACCACATTTGCAATAAATTGAGCTGCAATAAATGCATAATGCAGACATTTTGGTTTGTGAATTTTATTTATTTTTACTTTATATTAGATCTAAGATGTATAAATAAGAAACAAATGAAAACATTTTTTTTTTAAGTTTTGTGGGGTTGAATAGGGACAAGAACCATAGGAGGCTGCGGCAGGTGGCACTCTCCGACTCACAGTACACAACTATCAGGTATCGAGGTGTAAAGATCTTACATGCATCCCATAGATGTCACCTTTGTAAATACGAGGAGTGAAGTCGTGTAAACGCCTCAACTAATTTCTTCACACTTGTTTCTATTCGTTTGAAAAGGAGCGCCATAGCGATAAATTTTGCAGCAAGTGTCTTAAGCCAGGAACACACCTGATGCTATGACATGCGACGCTACCCGATGCGACCCGACGCCTTGCCACGTTTTGGTGGGGTGTGCACATCTATCCGGTGCAAGCACACGCCGCATACATTCCACAGCGTTTATCGCAATTATCACAATCACAATCTTAACACATCTTTTGTTCTTAATGCACTATTTTGAGCAAAACCTTGTAATAAATTCACTAATTTCATGGTCCGCTTGACCAATTAATATATTACAATTAATTAAGGTTTTTAGTTGAGATAAAAAGTTTAATTCACTAAAGCTCTCCGTGGCCATTTCATTTGTCGCCAAGAATCCAATCCGATATATATAAGAAACATCCGAAATATAAGAAAACATCGTTTCATGTAAACATTCTGTTAACAAACGCCATTGAAAAATGGCAAAAAGGAGGGAAAACTCAAAAAGGTGGGGGTGAGATGGGAAGTTCGTGTCAAAGTGGATCAAGGTCACGATTGCTCAGGTGGTAGAGCAGCGGCGTATCTAGCCGAAGATCGTGGGTTTGAATCCTGCTCGTGCCATTGACTTTTTATCTCAACTAAAAACCTTAATTACTTGTAATAAATTGTTTGTTAAACTTAATTGTTTTAAATAAAGTTACTTCTAACCATCATAATTAAACAATGTTTATAAAAACTTATGTATTTTTAATCTCGTTTAATGGTTTAGATGAAAATAACATGTAATTAATACAATGACAAAATTACATGTACTTAGTATTCTGGTGTTTTGATCAATTTTCTACCAAACCATTAAAATTAATTTTTAAAAATAAAAACTCATGAATTTTTGATCTAGGTTAATTTGGTCTATATTAAAATAAGAATATGTGGTGTTTAAAATAAGAATGTTGTAATTATTATAACTACAAAATTACGTATACATAGTTTGAAATAAATTACAAAAAAATAGTGTCCTGTTCTGATGCTACCCGACGAAAATGGTGTAATTTTACGAGCAAAACTATGAAATAAATTGTTAATTAAATTTTATGAGCAAAACCATGTAATAAATTGTTCCAATTTTAGCATATGTACTGCTGAAGCGAGTACAATAAATTGTTAGTTAAATTCATTATATCAAAAAATCGTATTCCGGTGTTTTGATTAATTTTCTACCAAACCATTAAAATTAATTTTTTAAATAAAAACTAATTAATTTTTAATCACAGTTAATTTGGTTTATATTAAAATAAGTATGTTGTAATTAATATAACGACAATAATACATGTAGTTTGAATAAAAATATGAGTGTCCGGTTCTTTTGTCTTCGACTGTACTCGACGCGACCCGACGAAAATCTGGACAGTGGGGATCGCAGAGCGTCGGGTAGGTTAGCATGGCATATCATCGGGTAGATGTGATCCCGGCTTTAGGCATTTTGCCATCTTCGGTACTGAGCTATTGAGGTACTGAGCTAACTGATGGTGGCAAAATGTCTAAACTCGTCTTACATACTGCCACAGTGAGGTGCAGATAAAAATGATTGGTAACGATCAAATTGTAAATATTAATGATTGTAAACACTAATTATGACATTGTCATCATAGAATCATTACCAGTTGATGGATGATTTTTAGATAATTACCCTGGGCACAGCATCGATGTGAGCAATACGTTCGATTTCCATTTTTCTCCACCAAAGCTTTTGTATATTCTTGCAGATGTGTAGCCAGCAATTGTACCCAAACAGACATATACGATCATAGCACATGTCATAAGGGCTCCTCGGTTGGCCGGAGATAGAAATCCGAGACAGGCAAAAGCTGTTAGAAAAATATCAGTTAATAAAGAATCAATTATTCTATTATTTAATATAGAAAGAACAAGAAAAGCACCTGTGAAAATAAAACAAATTTTCAAAACTTGCATTAATTTTGCACCAATCCAACATTTCTTATAATCAGGGGTCTTAAAAAATTTAGTTAATTACTAACTGATATAATGGTTCAACTATGTATACATTCTTTTACCACATTATACTTTTTATGATAAAAAATAATATTTCAATAATGTTTAAATTTAATTAAATATATTTCATTTTTTAAGCGTGTGAAATTAAAAGTTCAACCTAAAATTGACATACCCAATGTTACAAGTGTCATGAAAAAGATTTGAAGCCCAGAGCCGAGAAATACCGAAAGTAACATTCCTTTTCGTGGAGGGCGAAATACATCGCCATGGACGAGTTTCCAACCGAATTCTTCCTGGACATCTTCTCCAGAATCGATCTGAGAAACGAATCAATTTGAATAAATACACCGAACCAATCTCTTAAAGTTACAATGGAAATCAACGAACCTGATTGTATCGAGCGATGTCTTTATGAAGCGTCCTTAACAGAATCATGGCCACCATTCCAGAAAGGAAAAGGACGATGACGAGGGAATTCAATATTGAGAACCAATGAATATTAGTATGTTGCATCGATTCTAGTATGTAGTCCCACCTCGACGACCATTTCACAGTGTCGTTCCTCTAAAAATATAAACAAAAACAACTTGAGCATTTCCTTTTCAAATTGGCATAAAGAAAAATAGACTGTTTTTTTTTTTCCATTTAAATAAAACCATTTGAAAATTTTTATTAAAGTGAAAAATTTAAACGATTTTCTGACTACAAAATTATGATATTTATACTGTTTTAACATATTGAACAAATTCACAAACAAGTTTAAATATAATTGTAAAAAAATATTGAAACAAGTATTATGTAGTGTCTACTGCTTCATAGATTTTTTTTTTTTAAATATCTTTTTCGATTCGATTTGATTTTTTCGATTTTCATTCAATTTTTTTTTTAATACCATATTTGGGTTTTGTAAACATCATATAATATATATATATGAACATGGAAACTAATAGGCATCACTGTAAGTAAGGTCCCAGGTTCGAATCCAGCGGCCCTGCATTCGAACCCAACATATTCAATGTTTTTTTTAATTACAATTAATTAAGGTTTTTAGTTGATATAAAAAATTCAGTGTCACAAGCGGGATTCGAACCCACGATCTTCGGCTAGATACACTGCTGCTCGACCACTTGAGCTATCGTGACCTCGATCCACTCGGACACTAACTTCCCACCTCAACCCCACCTTTGAATTTTCCCTCCTTTTTGCCATTTTTAAAAAAACATTTTAAACTAAAAACCTTAATTAATTGGTCAAGCGGACCACGGAATTAGTGAATTTAAAGTTTTTTAATTTTTTTGTTTAACACTGGCAGCCCGAGGGTTATTATAACCTCTGCTGTTCCAAACCCTCGTAAAAAAAAAAAAAAAAAATTGCCATCTAGAAGTGTAATAACATTATTGTACTCAATCTGGTGAATTTTCAGGAATTTCAAATTTTGTGGATTGAGGATAACCAGGGCCTGGATTTATATGCATTAAAAATCATCAAATATGCCACAAGATTTGCACTAAAAATATTAAAATACACAGGATGATTGTCAGGGACATCGCCCGACTAATAATTAACTAACGTTTTTCTAATCTAGACTTTTTTGTCTAGTACATAATCATTTTGAAAAGAAATAGAACAGAAAATTTCCAATAATATTTAAAATACACTGATAGAAAAAATAAAGAAACCACCCTTAAATTTTACTCTATTTAAGTTTATTCATACCAAATGTAGGTTTGGTTGTTAAAATAGGACATTTAAAAATTAAATGTTTATTACCTAATTCTAAAAAAAAATTATTGAGAAAGAACAGAAAAAAAAAATTGTCCCCTTTAATACCGAATATTTACACCTCCGACAGGAATCACATTTATTAAATACGTTTTGCATTCCTTGGAAAAGATTTCTGAGAGTTATTCCCCATTCATCAAGAATAGACATTTTCAACTCGTCTAGGGTGTTAGACCTGGGTGCTCTTTGCTTCGTCCTTAACATGTTCGACTGGGTTCAAATTTGAACTTCGAGCCGGCCTAATTATCCTAATTACCTGTAGCTAATGAAGAAAGATAATGGATTAAATTTTAAAATAAATTGAGTTGTGTATTAAATTTGTCCAACAGTGTATTAAACAAAATAAATAATAGTTGTTGAACAACAGGTCACTAAGAAACGCACATAAATAATAAGCTTAATTAAGCTCATGATCTGAATTAAAATTGACAGTGACATACACGTCAAAGTTAGTTTATGTAAAACTTCAGCAATTATCTTTCATATATATAGATATTCTTCAAATATGAAAAAATATACAGAATAAAATTTGAACCCCTGCACCACGAAAGTTTGATTCAGATATATAACTGTTCATAATGGTTGAAAGGGTTAAAAAAAAGAATATGCAACTGCATACAAATCTAGGCACTAGTGATACGATTTACATCAACCAATTTAAACATCAGATAGCAATGTTTTTTGTAAATTATATAATTCATTTTATCTATTTCTCAAATTATTTATCATTGTCCTATTTACTAACAATCAATATATTTTTATGTACAACTTGGATTAGTTTTTATAGCAATTAACCGAGAAAAAAGATTCGGAATTGATAAATTGAGCACAATAATGATTACACACAACTTTGTTGGTGGAATTTTCTGACCTTTCATAACCTCTAGTTTTAATAATACACAATGGCATACACATATTTAATTTTTTTTTTAAATCATTTAAAGACAATTTATAATGTATCTACCACAAAAGTCACGCTGTACGTGTATTTAATTTGAAACGTTTTCCCTCTGGGTATGTTTGCTGGTATCCCTAGCGGTTCTTTCGAGAAGCAATCATTATTATTGTCATATTTGACACTCCTAGGAGTTGCTTTGACAGCTGTAAAAAAAAAAAAAAAGTAAAATTAATCAAATATTTACATAGAATAAAATAATTTAAAAAAACCTTACCGACAATCCGTCCACTGTCTTTGCCATAATTGTTCCCCCAATCTTCAGATTCTCCACTGTGGTACGTTATTTGTATATCCACATGATTAAATATATAATAAGTGTGCAGTTTATTGTACATCGTCTAAAATGAAAAATTTGAGTAATACATCAACAATATCGATAAAAATAACAACTAATTACTAATATTTATTGTAAATAATTTTCAACTCATTTCTTGTTACTATTGTTAATACAGCCCAGTTTCACATCAAGTAAAAAAAATTAATAATTGTAATGAAACCAATTTTTAAAAAAAATTCTGCGATGGGGGGGTTCTTGAAACGGAGGTGCCCACCAGAAAGCAACAACAATGTAAAATCGAAAACATCTGGGCGGTATAAGAAGCAGAGGATAAGACAACAGAGTGAGCAGTCAAGCCCTGCTGGGGTGATCGAGAGGAGAGGGGCCGGTCAGTGAGGACAGGCAAGGAGTGGCAAAACAGGCCCTGAGATGGATGCAAGCTGGCGAGAGGAAAAAAATTGTTTTCTAGATTTTTTGAACAGTTTTCCATCAGATCGTGGGAATTCAAAAGACCTTGAGGGAGTCCGAGAAAAACAAAGGAAACTGGAGCGATCGATATTGGAAATATATGAACCAAGCTTCATTGTTGCTGGCAACTGTTACACTGGGACTGTTCACCTACCCGGTTTTTTGGACCTCCCATCCCGAAAACTTAATATTTTCAATGTTAGGGGTTGGAAAAATTCCATTTTTTTTTTTATCTTTAATGTGTCTAGGACTGTTGCCTGGATTGGGAGGGCACGAACACAGCGGCAGGCTGTTGGAGGCTGACAGGGGTGGCAAGTGTGAGCAGGCAAGCTGAAAGAAAGCAAGGACAAAAAGAGGTAAAGAAAACGATAAAAATCAAAAAGCGAAGGGTCCTATTATTTCTCCAACGTTGAAAGCTGCCTTCTCCAGGATCAGTGAGGCCCATCCAAGCAGGACTGATGTTGAGACGAGGCACTCTGGTGAGGTTCAACTTGGTGAAAGAATTCGTTTTTTTGACATTTGAATTTTTTTTAATAGAAAGGGTTCCTTTTTTTATTTATTTTTTTAAATAAATAAATTATTTAATTTTTTTTTTGTGGAGGATATTCCCCTGAAAGTTGTATTTTTAGTTTGTTTGCAAGGCCTTTGCATTATGGTTATTGTGTAAATTAAATAGCAATTAAAAGTTTTTCTGTTTTGTTTAAATTCATGCTGTATCGTTTTTATTTATTTTGTGATTCCGACTCCTGACATGTATGTATGGTGATTTTGATTCATACAACAAGGTGACAGTCGGGTATAAAAAGGACTCATACCTTAGAGGAACCACCTTCAATTTTGGTCTAGGAGGAGGTTCATGGTTCGAGCCACAGAGGAATTTTTTTTATTAATTAGTATTTATTATTTTATTTTTATCATTGATTCTCATTTTATTGGGTTTTGATTTTTGTTTCAAAGGGATTCACTATTTTCCCCGGATCAAATAGTGTGGCACCCAAATATATTACTAGTTTCATAGGCATCCCTCTTTTCCGCTAACAAGCAAAAGTTATTCCAAGTTAATTCATAACAAGTAGTTGAGATAAAAAAGTCAATGGCACGAGCGGGATTCGAACCCGTGATCTTCGGCTAGATACGCCGCTGCTCTACTACTTTTTTATCTCAACTAAAAACCTTAATTAAATGTAATATATTAATTGGTCAAGCGGATCACAAAATTAGTGAATTTAATGATTTAAAATGAAGTACACTTCACTAAAGCTCTCCATGGCCATTTCATTTGTCGCCGAGAATCCAATCCGATTACACGACATTTGAAAAATGGCAAAAAGGAGGGAAAACTCAAAAGGTGGGGTTGAGATGGGAAGTTAGTGTCCGAGTGGATTGAGGGCACGATAGCTCAAGTGGTAGAGCAGCGGCGTATCAAGCCGAAGATCGTGGGTTCGAATCCCGCTCGTGCCATTGACTTTTTTATCTCAACTAAAAACCTTAATTAATTGTAATATATTAATTGGTCAAGCAGACCACGAAATTAGTTAATTTAATTCATAACACAGCTTATACATTACACACTGTCTTAGTACAATTTCCCAAGCTTTTATCCTTTTATATTTATTTATTAATTCAAAGACCAGTACAAACTTTTCAATTACCATATAGTAACATTAGCTAAAAATGAATAGATCACTGCAATTACAAGAGAAGGCTGATCTTTACTAGATCTGTCTATTTTTAACCTTTGTCCTGAAATTCTGGGGGATTTTAATTATCTTTATTTCATTATTGTTTTTAAGGTGGTGGTGTATTATTAACAATTAAAATTTCTTTATGCTCTTGGGGACCGAAGACATGGTAGCACAAGGAGACAGTGACATTAGTACTGATACGAAGACTTAGGGTTTGAGTCCCGCCTGTGATACATTTTTCCATCTAAATTTTTATTTGTTTAAAATACGCCAGTTATTTAAAATTGAACAAAAATCTTGGGGACACAGTAGCTGAGTGGTCAGAGAGATAGACTCACGTTAGATTCCCATGGTCCTTTTTTTTCATGCAATCCTTTCTCCAAAAAAGAATACGCATCATATATGATAATCATGTTCCTTGGCTAATATGCAAAGTTCGTAAGGTAAAAAAAAAAACTTACACTCAGGTTACAAATATCTTCTGGTTTTTTCTGCTCGCCAATATAACATCCCATTGGGAAACCAGGGACGCAACATTGCCTTCCATCGTCTAGCATATAACACCACGTTACAGGCATGTTATCTGAAAATAGTCAAGTTTTTAATAACATTTACATGAAAAAAGTTATTAATTATTGAATGATGATCAATGGACCTACCGACAATCCAATGATGTTGATAATTAAGGCTCATGCCTTTTTGTAGAAGAGACAATTTTTTGATGTCCTCAGGTTTATCAGTGTTGTATTCCTTGGTACAGACAGGGACACAACTCGCATTCTTGAGAAAACTCATCTAAAAAATTATAAATGAAATTTAAACAAATATTCAACATTGCATTATTATTATTATTATTATTATTATTATTATTATTATTATTATTGATAAATATACCTTATATGGAGAAGGTCGAATCCTCTCCCCGAAGACGACCTGTCCAAGATTTTCTGTGGGAGATTTTGTTTCATCGGAAAGACAAAAATCAAAACTGAAAAAAATTTAGTCGTTAAAAACAAAGACAAAATGAGTTTATCTGTGGTGTTTTAACTCACTGATGATATTCATATGGAATAATTGACTCGTCTGTGTTAAGCCTGTTTACAAAAAGGTCAACTTCAGTCTGAAAAAAAAATTAACCATGATAATATTTTAATGCGAAAAAATAATCGTATACATATTTTAATGTCAATTCTTTAAGCAATTTTGAGTGCTCAATATTTAAATTTGTTCAACTGCTGATAAACTCATTAATAAATTTCTGCAGAAATGATAAAATTGAGTTCTATTTATCACTATGCAGGTTATAGAATATAGTTTTATTCAATTAAGTTTTCCTTTTCTACGCAAAAATTGCTACGGGTTGAGTTTTAATTTGAGGTAAATATTTCTGTAATACACTTGTTATCTTCAGTAAACAGAAGATAAAGATTAGTTTCCAGATGAAGCGTTCTGAACTGAACTGGATATAAACAATATTCATTGACATGAGAAATTCTGACTCAGGAGATTGCAAATAATTAAGAAATCTATGATAAAGAATTTTATATATATTTGGTGTAAAACTCAATCAGAAAAACCTATTCAATTACAGTACAGACTAAAAAAATCCAAATAAATACTCATTACAGGATGAAATTGTGTAAAACAGACTATTTTCCGGTATACCTTTTACTCCATTTTAATTTTTATAACATAAAAAAAGTTCTAAGTCAAAATTTTAAACAATATGGGGATGCCCAAAGTGAGACATGAGGAACCAACCCCATCATATTAAAATTTTGTACCGATCATTTTTGTCTTCAAATCCTCACTGGCTTAATCTGTCAGACTCTTTTCGTTATTTAGCCATCTCCAGTGTTTTCACAGAATCACGCTGAAAATGGCAAAATGCTGAAACAGATCAACCCTGTATGGAATAGAAGATCAAATGATTGATAAGACCAGATTAGAGGCTCATCTCCTCACAGACAAGGCATCAAACCACTTGAGAATTATTCTTTCATAATATTTTCAATTAAAAAACAGGCAGGGCCAGAATTTAAACCCAGACCAAAACCAGGGATATCATTACCAGAGGAAATACAAAAGTGAGAAATCTGTGTAACTTCTAAAGGGAAAAATGAGTCTATTGTACAATGGAGCTTCTGTCTGTTTAAAAAAATAATATATGACAATATTTATGAATTGCCTTTGGTTGATTTGTGAGTCGGTGTACTCGTGCAAAACAGCGTTGGGTCTGCCTTGTGTGTTGAACTACGCAAATGCATTTTGGCATTGCCCCATCTTCAGTGAAAAAGTTTGAGTATTTCAGCAAACCCATGAGAAAAGAGGGGCCCAATAGGTGACCCAATGCTGGTTCAGCATGTATTGCAACATAGATTATCCCAAATAAGCATTGAATTTAAAATTATTGTACAGAGTAACAAAGTAAGAAAAAAAATCGTTACCAGAGAAAAGTATAAAATGGAGAAATCTTTACAACTAAAGGAAAAATGAGTTTATTGTATAATGGAGCTTTCTGTTTGTTAAAAAAATAAAAATAAAATAAATAAATAAAAAATATATGACGATAAGTACGAATTTCCAACTGGAAGTCAGATTTATTTGAAAATACACTGATGGGCAAATTTAATGCACCATTCAATTTATTTAGTTTAAAATTAAATCCATTATCTTTCCTCATTACTTGCAGGCAATTAGGAGCTATCATAGTCAAAATAAACAGTAAATAATGCTATTTTTACTTTATTTTTTTTTTAGTTTTGTACAGATTAATCCCATTTGCACAAAAAGTAGCATTACGCCCTTCCATTCTGCTATGCCTAAAGATCACTTTCAGTTAATTTTTTTCCTTTGTTGATTTCATTTGATCATAGTCAAATTCTTAACCTTTTTCAACAGCTCCAGTCAGGCATTTCAGGAGTATGTCAGAGTCATAATATTATTAGAGGAAGGATTCGGCCAGTGCGAACTCACCAGGAGGACTGAGTGAAAATCACTCTACCATAGCGAAAAGCTTCACACTAGAAGGTCAAGACAGGGTCGACCTAGGCCTACGACAGTAGAGTCTTCCATCATATGGGTTTACGAAAGCGCAGCATCAAGGAAATGAGATAGGGAATCTGATAAAATAAGTTCAAAATGGTTCAATTTTCTCCAGGACTATAAGATGAAGGCCAAGGAAAATAACCTTAAGACCCAGCACCCAGCACCTCTTTTTACACAGCTAAGATACTGAGCAGGCTTCAATTTGCACGGGAACATGTGGATTGGGCACTGGAAGATAAGGGACAAGTTCTCTTTATAGATGAGGTGAGATTTGGCCTCAAATCTTCAGATGGGCCTAATTTCATATGGAGACGCTTAGGAGAAAAGTATGCCCATTCTGATGGTTCCTCAAGTGGCAATCCACAGGTCATTGATGCTCTGGGGTGGCATTTCCTTCAACGCCTGCACTGAATTGGTGGTTGTGCGACCAAGATCTCCAACTTCACAAAGGTACTTACGACACAAATCAAAGAATATGTATGTAAGTTTGGCCCCCACTTTGGTGAGATTCTTGCTAATGCAAGATAATGCCAGGTCCCATAAGCATCTATTATGGATGACTACCTGAATGAGGTAGGAATGGAGTGATTTGAGTGGCCAGCTCGAAGTTCAGATTTGAACCCAATTGAACACATTTAGGACTTAAACGACGAGTATGACGACAAAACCCAGATCCTAACACAGTAGAAGAGTTGTTACCAGAGGCGGAAATACTCGGTATTAAAGGGGACAAAAAAATTTTTTTCTTTACTCATAGTTTAAACATTTCTTTTTTAATTTCTCATGTTTATAGTCTAATCTATTTTTGATATGCAAAATATAAATAAACTTAAATACATGTAATTTAAGTATAATGCATTATTTTAGCCCATCAGTGTATTAATTATTACGAGATGTTGATGTGAAATGTTGGTTTGTGAGTTGGTGAACTCATGCTGAACCGGCACTGGTCACGTACTGGTTTCATCTCTGGCTAGTTGAACTACTCAACGAGGAAGTCCTCACTGAAGATGGAGCAATGCCAGAACGTTTGAACACTTCAACGCACCCACAAATAAAGACCCAATGCTCGTTTAGCATATATTGCAACATAAATTATCCCCGATAAGTGTCATATTTGACAACCAATTTACAGTAGCTAACTTGGACAGAGAATCCATTAGAAGAGATTGGATACAATATATAAACGTTCAAAAGAGGACTAGTTAAGGAATAACTAGAACTTCAAAAGTAAAAGACATGAATATGTTAGAAATGAGAAAAGCTTGATACAGGAAACTCTCAATATTTATCTACTGATAAGAAGTTTTGTCAAAATAAATTTTCCGTCGTGATTGCTAAGAAAACAATCTTTATGTTAAATGATATAAGGATTTTTGTGACGTTTTAATTTTTAGAATAATTCATGCAGGTCTAACATAGTGAATGGGACTGAATAGTAAACGAAGATTTGATTGGTCCGGTTGCCTGGGTGGCATGTTGACAGCCACATCGGTTGCCAACTGGGCAAAGCTTATCTCGCCACGTAGATAAAAGCTAGTTGGCCGCCGGCGATTGTCTTTCGACGGAAAAAGCTCTCAGGTCTCGCCTGTCGAAATAAAACTTTAAAAAATTTAAAAAAACTGACCTTGCATGAGGGCAAGAAGCCTTGTTTACAGTAGTTGACAGGCGCGAGGCCGGGGAGGTAAAAGCCGTGGGATCGCCTCAAACCGGCCAAGCAGAGGAAGCAAAGCAAGAAGGCGGACACACCACTCGGAGTCATCTTTCGACGAGGTGTCCCGCTGACATACGACAACCGATTTCGCCCACCGACGAGACACGACGCACGACAAAAATGGCTGGCGGGGATTCGACCAATCGGGCCGCGTTTCCACTTTTTCCACGATTCCACAAATCCGGCCTACGGAGAAAATGGCATAGTTTCACTTTTTCCGATGGAGAGACAAAGGCGGCCGGGACGAAGGGGCGAAGGAGAGACGTCTCGAGGTATGCACGGTGACGGAACAGCGAGTGAGTGGGGTCGGTCGCTCTCGCACAGCTGAACATCAACGCGTCCTTGATTTCAGCCGCGCTGAAACGGCGTCCGGGACGGAAGGGACTCTCGCCGGGCCTCGCATCCATGGAAATTAGACTTCCATACTTTTCCCAACCGGGGAAAAAAAGTTCCTACCCAGAAACAGAATCAATGGTTAAGAGGTGTTTTCATTATGAAAAAGGCGGGAAGAAGTGAAAATTTGAAATTCAAACTCCCAAAACAAACTGCTGTGGCTCAAAAATGTATTGGCACACCAACGGTTTCCACAAATCTCAATAGGCCTAAGATATTTTCCATAAATACAATTTATTTAAAAATTGGCCCCTTATAATTAGATTTTAGAAGCAATGAATATTTGGAATTTAAAAAGTGATTTTAAATAAATCTTAACAGTAAATTTTGAAAGTCCAAAAAAGTATTGGCCCACCAACTTTTTCCGCAAATCTCAATAGGTCTAAGATATTTTCCGTAAATACAATTTATTTTAAAATTGGCCCCTTCTAATTAGATTTTAGAATCAATGAATATTTGGAATTCAAAAAGTGATTTTAAATAAACCTTAGCACAGTAAATTTTGAAAGTCCAAAAAGTATTGTCACACCAAATTCTTCCGAAATCTCAAGGCCTAAGATAGTTTCCATAAATAATATTTATTTTAAAATTGGCCCCTTATAATTAGATTTTAGAAGCAATGAATATTTGGAATTCAAAAAGGTTTTTAAATAAAACTTAGCACAGTAAATTTTGAAAGTCCAAAAAAGTCTTGGCCCACCAACTTTTTCCGCAAATCTCAATAGGCCTAAGATATTTTCCATAAATAATATTTATTTTAAAATTGGCCCGTTATAATTAGATTTTAGATGCAATGAAGATTTTGAATTCAAAACGTGATTTTTAAATGAAACAACACAGTAAATTTTGAAAATCCAAAAAAACTATTGGCACAGTTGAAATGTTTCCTATTAACTGCAGTAAAAACAAATAAATCCATGTTCTTTCAATAGATAAAAAATCAGTATTGACAATAATACAATAACAACAATAAAACTCAGTCTTTGCTCTATCTTTGCCGAAGCAAGGGTAAAACCGGTGAATAATGTGTTATTTTCAAAAATCACATAATTAAATTACATTCAAAAAAGCTTAGCTACCGACAAATAGCGAACAGATTAGAAAATAGTTTTAGCATTGTTAAAAATAAAGTAAGAAAATCTAGAAGAACGGGTTCGGTTTTAAACAAACGTTAGGACGGCCATTAAAATATAATGAAAGGAACATACACCGCTTTGTTGATTAAAAGCCGTTTTCATCCGCCGGGATAGCAGAAGAGGTCGCATCATCTTCCAAAACCACCTTTTCCTTACAGACGATAAGAAATGTAATTCATAAATATAATTATTATGGCAGGGTCCAAAGGAAAAAACGTTTTATATCAGAGGCCAACCGCAAAAAAGACTTGTTTTTGCCAAAACTTATGTTAATAAGGACCTAGAATTTTGGAAAAAATGTTATTTTCTCAAACAAAATTCAAAATTTTTGGATCAGATGGGCGCAAGTGCGTTTGGCGATTACCTAATACTGAGTTTCCGCCATGTGAGGCCCAGTGTAAAACATGGAGGTGGAAGCGTCCTAGTTTGGGGGTGTCTCCTCGGACAGAAGCCTCTCCGGCAGTGCCAGGTCGCCGGAATCTTCTCCAGTGCTTTAGAAGGGGAGGCGGAGTAGACCGACAATTCCCGGCGTATAGCTACGTTACACACTCTACTTGAATTGTTTTAACCCTTTTAACATTAATAAAATGTGTTAATATATTTAATAATTTTAACAGATCTGCGTTGGAATATTGGCATAACCCATGATTTTTTTTTTAATAGAGATTATGTAGAAGGTAGTACAAAATGGTTTGACTCACCTCGAAGGGAGAAATAACTAAGTATATCAGAATTTTCCCTTAATACGGCGTCTGCAATAAACTACCTCTTGGTGATTACTAGGACAAGTTTATTTTGATTTTCTCTCACCCTCCTTGTCTCACACGCTCTCTCACTCTCTCTCTCTCTCTCTTTCTCTCTCTCTCTCTCTCTTATTTGTTAAGTATCGTTTTTATTCACTTTGATCACCATTCTACTTGCATTTTATTAACCCTTTTAAAACATTAATAAAATTTGTTAATATATATAATAATTTTGTTGTTTCTGCTTTCGAATACTGGCATAACCCATGGTTTGTTAACAGAGATTACGTCCAAGATATTGCAAAGTGGTTTGACCTCGAAGGAATCAAATAACCAAGTATCTTAAAATTTTCTATCTATCCCCTTCTCTCTCTTCCTCCCTCTCATCCTCATTCTCCCTCTCTTTCTCTCTCTCACTTTCCTTTCATTTTCTATTATCATTCGTTATCTTTTACTTTTTAAATATTTTAATTATTAAATTATTAATATTAATCCTCAATACCCTATGCAAATTTCAAAATATCAAATTCATATACTGAGATTTAGTGAGCTAAAATGTAATGTTAATTTTTTCCCACAAATAGAATAGAAGAGTTTTGTCTAGCTTCTCGTTTTCTTTTGTTGCTTTTATTGAATGAAATATTGTGTTTCATTGAACTTTTCCCACCAATTAATTTGATTATTTCGGGCTATGCATTTCGAAGCTAGAAGCGAAGCCACAAACTGCATAGCAAGAAATAAACAAATTAATTGGCTGGAGAAGTTTAATAAAACATCTAAATAAATTAAAGTTTATATTGTGAGTAACAATACCCGTAAAAAGACTCGATATTTATTTTTTTACGCCAACCGAGGAAGAATCTATCTATGAGAGCAAGGAGCCTGGAAACTTCGTTTGAACAAAATTACTAATGGGAAGCTAAAAGGCCAATTTAATCACCAAAGGTAATTTAATCGAATCTTGACGAAATGGCGCGACTACTCAATAACTCCGATGTCGAAGCCATTAGTAACATTAAATCGTTTAATCCTTCAAAAATGATAAAACCCTGCTGAGGAATCTAAACGACGATCGAAAAATGTTCTTTCCAAAGAAAAGTCTAAATTTAAATTGACTTTTTCAACTTGAGCGTAAGATTAGAAAAGTTAAAGATTTCTGAGTTAAAGCAGTCGGAATAAATGGATTATGGGCCGGTGGAATTAAGTAAGTTGTCCCAAAGAAAAAAAAAACTTTGTCAGTCGAGTTTAGGCGATCTTCACACGTGAAAGAACCAATTACCTAGCTTTCACGTGATAATGACCTCGCCATTCTCTACGGCGGAACAATTTTTCAAAGCAAAATTATCATAAATGACCACCATTTCTTTTGTTGTTGTTGTTCTATTTTTGTAAATGGGCTTCTTGCTCGTTTACATTAATAAATACATAAATCATACGATACGACAACGGTAGGAAAAAACAGTTATTTTTTCACTTTATAATTAAAAAGTCAATTTAAAAAAATAATTGTATACATAAAACGGTGTTAGTTGAATGATTACAGGAAAAAATATAATTGGAATTTGCATTCAGACATTTGAAACTTTTAAGGATCCAGTTTATCTAATATACAAATGTGGTTTATGAACAGTATATCAGGTATAGCAAATAGATTAGAAAAAAAGTAAAAAGAAAGAAAAAAGAGATAAAATGCACCAATGAGCTCGTGCATTTTTCTTAATATTTTAAACGTACTAAACTTTCAAGAACAAATGTTTCCTTTATAATTTTCCCTTTCATGCTCCTTTTCCCATTTCAATTTATTTATAAACTTTTTTTGGAATATGTAAAATAATTTTTTTGTTAATGAATTTAAATATTTATCGTTGGCCGTAGAGAGAAATAGTTAATGCTTAAATCTACTAGTTGTTGGCCGAAATAATCAACCTTCGAACAACAATCACTTTCGACTCCATTTGATTTTTAGGCTTCACCCTTTGTCATCATTTTTTTCGACCGTTCGTCTTCGGAAAAAGGGAAGAACTTAGTCGATACTCGGGAAAATCATCGTCCCGAGTAATTGGTGTTATCGAATCAGCCAGTTGAGTGAGAATCACTGGCAGAAAATCTCCCTATTCGACCAACAGAAACCCGAACTACCTTCGATCTTCGCTTAAAGGACATCTGGAATTCCACCACAGGGCCTTAGAATCTCCTTCGTCCATCGATCTGTCAACGTTAACCCATCATTCATCGACATCGTACTTCAAAATCTGTATTTATTTTTTTCGTTATAATTTTGCATGCAAGCTTGCTTAATCATTTTTTTTTCTAGGAGTACTGAACGAACATCTACATCTTGGAGAATCATGCGAAATATAGTTGACCGTATAACGGAATTTCACCCTTATTTGGCAACTAATCAGATATGAATCGGTGAATCCTGGAAGAGAGAAATAACCAAGTATATCAGAATTTTACCTAAGAACGGCGCCGGCAATAAACTACACCTTCATGACTTTTCGGTCGTGCAGGTTTAGCATTGCGACGCGCCGTACTGGCGATTATTAAGACAAGTTTATTTTGATTATTTATCTTTCTCCCTCGCTCCCTCGCTCCCTCACTCCCTCTCTCTCACTCTCCCTCTTTCTCTATCTCTCTATCTGGTTTTCTCTCTCTCTCTCTCATATATTTTAAGTATCGTTTTTATTTACTGATTATTCGGAGATCATGAGACGTGTGCTGGTGTGACGTAGGTTTTAGAAAAACATTTTCTTTATCGTGCCTCAACACGACAGACAAGAATGACACATCTACACGGAAAACAAACACTTTGAGCCCTGAATATGATTTCAATAAAGATCGGAACGTTGGCACGATAAAGAAAATGTTTTTCTAAAACCTACGTCACAACAGACCGCTTCTCACGATCTCGGAATAATCATTGACTAAGGGTCACTAAACACCACACACGTTTTTATTCACTTTGAGGAGCAAACTCAATTACCATTCTTCTTGGACTTTGTTAACCCTTTTAAAACATTAATAAAATTTGTTAACATATTCAGTAATTTTGTTGGATCT